TAAGTGCAGTAGCAATACATCCCAATTTATTTTTCATGTTTCTGATTCCAGCTCCTTAACTCTGTAACTGACTTTCCGTTTGCAATATCAATTCATCCATTGATAATTTTTTCTCCTTACTTTGCAAATTATTAAATCCTAAGGGGTAATAAGGTTTATAAGTTAGATTTCCTTGATTGTTGGAGCTTCTCACTGGGTTTGCAACATTGTTTCCATGTTGTGGATTTGAAGTATTTGAGTTATTATTACTCCAACTAAAGTTTGAATTATTCTTTCATCTAGGATTATAATAATTGGCATAAGTATTATTAGAACGATTGTTTAGTGCATTTAAAGTCCCATAAGAAGATTAAGATTCTATAATTTGTCCCAATGAGTTCTCCTCAAGCACAGATGCTGTTTGAGAATAATTCATTCCATATTGATCTATCTTCTTTGATATTGTAGCTATTTGAGCAGCTAATATAGATATTGCATAAGAATCATGAACACTGGCTACTCTTTTTGGAATTATCCTTTATGAGGGCTATTGAAAATTATTATTAGTCATCTCTTCAATTACTGAATATTCTTCATCAAATGGTTTTGACATTAATGATCCACCAGCAGCAGCGTCAATTATCGATCTAAGAGATCCAACCAATCCATTATAAAAAAGTTTGAATTATTAACCAATCTGACAACTCATGGTGTGGACACTTCCTAAGAAGATCTTTAAATCTTTCTCTCATAAATTGATTCCCCTTTAAACTGACAAAAAGATGTAATATCATTTCTAAGCTTAGCAGTTTTTGAAGGTGGGAAATATTTAGATATAAATTTTTGTGATAAATCTCCCAAAGTTCTGATATATCTGGGTGCTAACGAGTTTAACCACATCTTAGCTTTATCCCTCAGTGAAGAAGGAAAAAGTCTAAGACTTACAACATCATTCGATACTCCATAATATTGAAATGTAGCACACAATTCTATAAAACTAGCAAGGTGTAAATTTGGGTCTTCATTTGGTGTTCCTCCAAACTGATTGTTTTGTACCATTTGGATAATAGCAGATTCAAGCTCAAATGAATTGGCAGCTACAACAGAATTTTGTATACTCAAATGAATTTCATTTGTTGTAGGATTCACATAATCCCTGAAAGGTCTCTAATGACGTTCATTTTCATTTCCAGTATTAATTGAGTTGCAAGCCATTTTGCTAGAATGATTTTTCTCTTTTTGTTGTTTTCAAATTTTTCTAACATTTATTTCTAATTCAGAATCGTAAGGTAATAGGTTTTCATATCTTATACTACACAAACAAAATAAAAACAAGTAATTAAAAATAAGCAATACACTTAACAAAGAAAATGTTCAAACTAAAGTAAAAACACTTACACACACAGATATATATA